GCCAAGGACCGGGCAGTGTTTCATTCTGTTGTGCATAGGGTCTCTGAGTCGGTACCGACTCGATGGTACCTAACAACAACAACAGCACAACAAAGAGCAGCTGGTGAGTTTGAACCACTGACCTTGAGGTTACCAGTCAAGTGCTTATCCTACAGTGTCACATATAATAAAATGTTAATTTAGAATCTAGGTGGAGGATGTATGGCTATTTACTGTAAAATTATTTTAACTATTTGAAGATTTAAATATTTTTAGTTTAAAATGTTAGTGGGAAAAGACCTTATGAAAGATATGAAACTATATTTGAAAACTGGAAAGTGTTTACTGGGACTGTTAATACCTACCTTATATGTGGCTTTTCACTGACCATTTCATTATGTCATCTTAGCATGATTACTGTGCACAGTCCAGTTTCAGTGTAGTGGTTATGAGCATGGACCCTAGAGCCAGAATGTCTGAGTGAGAGTCCAGCGCTACTATTTACTAGCTGTGTGACCTTGAGCTTCTTACTTAGCCTTTCTGTGCTGCCATGTCCTTATCTGTAAAATTGGAATTATAACTAGTACCTTCCTCATGGGCTGTGAGGATTAATATATTTATTTACAACATTGCCTGGCATGTGGTTAAGTGTTAATTCTTCCTGTTACTACTATTTTCTAGATTGTTGTTGTGTGCCATTAAGTCAGTTCCGACTCATGCTGACTTTATATAGGGCTTCTGAGAACGACTGGTGGGTTTGAACTGCTGGCCTTGCAGTTAACACAGTTATATTGATAAGTTTCATAAAATATTCTAGCTCCCAGCGCCCTTAAATTTATAATAATAATAATTCTTAGCAAGTATTACGTTCATTTTTATGGGAGAGAATTTTCATTAACCTCAGTTCTGGTGTATTTAAAGCTTAGGTCAGTGGGTGGATCTGCTAATTTGCATGATTGGTCTCTAGTAGGCTTAAAAAAATTTCCCTCCTACTGTAGATTAAAATGTTTTATGAAGAACATTTACACTTGGATGATGAAATTCGCTATATCTTGGATGGGAGTGGATATTTTGATGTAAGAGATAAAGAGGACAAGTGGATCCGAATTTTCATGGAGAAAGGAGACATGATAACACTTCCTGCAGGAATTTATCACCGTTTCACACTGGATGAAAAGGTAGAATCTATTTTTATTTTTAAGACTTGCATAGGTACAGCTTTCAGAAATTCACGACATTACCACCACCACCACCAGCTCTATCATATGAGAATGATTGACATTTTTAGTGGTGGTTCCTGACTCTAACTTTTGCTTCAAGGAGAAATCCAGGTGGAGTCTGTAACTGGGGACTCTTTAGTGTGCCAGCTGTGTATTTTATGCTAACAGTCTAGTAGTCTCCTCCGTGTGTTCTTGGTGAACAGTAACACACATTTAAAAAGCACTCACGACTAGCCAAACAAAGGCTAATAACCAAGTTAACAAGAACACAATCCTGTTCCTTTACCTAAGACAATTTCTAACCTGTATTGCGTACTAATTCTAGGGTACATAATGGTGAGGCCTCTCAAGATTGTCCATTACTTTTAGCTCTTGCTTTGTGATTATTGGCAGTGCAATGCCATTCATTAATACTGTCAACAAAAAACAGAAAAGTGAAGTCATTCTTAAATTTTCTGGATGTGATTTGGATTAAAACTGAGAATAAGGGTAGTCTTTGCTATTAGATTTCTAATTTATTTTCTAGATAGTAGTTATGAATTATTTTAAATAAAGAGGCACTAAGTCCTGGTATGGCACTGTGGGTTAATGCACCAGACTGCAAAGCCATTTGAACTGCAGGGTCGGTGGT